CCTTCCCCCGGGTCCGGCGCCGAAGCTTTCTCCCCCGGGGCGGGCATGGAGGCTGGACCCCTCTCCCCAAAGCCGAGGCTCGGTCCGCGCTCCTGCGACTAGGCTGAAGCTGCTCCCCTCTCCCCGCCGCCTTCGGCCTGGAGCAGAGACTAACGTCCGGCCGTACACCCACACTGGGACTGGGCTGTGATCCCGAGGCCGCAGCTCCTCTCTCGGCCCGCCACCTCCCCCTGGGCCCACCTGCTCCCTCAGCCACAGGCCATCTCGGGGCTCTGGGACTGGACGGCTGCAGCCTCTTCCCTCTCCCCTCGGGAACGGCTCCACTCCGTCCCCTGCACCGCCTGCAGCCGCGGCCCCTCAGCAGCTGTGTCTCCTGGCACCTCCTCGCCATACCCAGCAGAGCAGTCGGAGCAGACAGCCAGGCTGGCCGGAAGAGTTTTTGGTGGGGTTTCTGCACTGGGGTGGAAACCCAGCAGAACCTGCCCTTTCTCCCTTCCCCTGCCCCGCAAGGCGGCCCACCCCGACCCTGAGATCCCGGGTTTGGAGACTCCTGCTGAGAGTGAACAGTAGGAGGATTCTCCAAAGCTTCCAGCTTGCCACCTGGAAGAAGGTCACTTTCTTTTGAGCAAAGGAGATAATGGGGGGTACCCTGCCAATGTTCACTGAGAGGCGGGGGTGACATGGGCCACGGTTGCTCTGGGAGGGTTGTGGCACTCGGGGCTGGGTGGCTCTCCCTAAGCTTGCTCTGACAAAAGAGTTTTGAGTTGGTCTTTTGGCTGAGCCTGCCCAGGAAGGCAGGCTCCTGCAGGAGTCTTGGAGGGTCGGATGCGGCGCCGGATGAGGATGAGGCGTGGCGGAAGATGCGTTTGGCTCTGCAGACACTGCATCGGGCAGCAGGGGACTCTGGGAGGCTGGTGCAGCCAGAAGGCATGGCTCTTGACAGCCTTCTAGTAGAATCTCTGGAATTGTGCATGTGAGTGGGGTTGCCATTTGGGGTACCTTCCTACAAAGCCTCCCCTGACCTCCCCAGTTGCGTCAGGTGCCCTCTCTGTGCCCACAGCCCTCTGTGCCTCCCTCTGGTAGCACTCCCCTTTCTGTGATGAAATGTTCTGTTGATATGTCTGTTGCCTGCCCTGGACTGTGAACTCCGCAGGGACACAGGCCATGCCATCTATCTCTAATCCTCCACGCCTGGCCCAGGGCCTTGCTAACACAGAGTAAAAATAACTAGGTGAATGAGAGAGAAAATGAATCAGTCCAGAACCCGTGCTTATTGTAACCCAGTTTTCATGCTGATTTCCTTGTGTCTCAGATCACAATAAGGTTTTTAATTAATGAAAATGTCACCACTTATTGAGTGTCAGAAGCTCCACCTTCATCCCTATCCCCATCTCCTATCCTAGGCTGACACTGCTTCCATAGGAGACTCCCCAGGTGGGACCCCCGACCCCTACTGGGTCTAGCTGCCAACCCTGAGGCTGCTTCCCCCACCAGCCTACTCTGGGACCCCCCTGGGAGTGCTGTTACCCAAAAAGGGAGAGTGGGAGAAGGGAGAGCCGGGAAGCTGTTGTCTTCTCTTCTTCTCATTCAGCAGACCATAGAATACTTTAGGGTCTCTGCCACATAGAGATGCCAGAAAGCTTGGATGATGGCTCAACCATTCAGTTTTTATTGAGGATATAACTTTGCCAAGAGCTCTAAGCTTCATCAATTGCTTTGACATCTAGTTTCCTACCATGTTCTTATCTACTCCACTGCTTGACCTACTGATTCATTTATTTGTGCCGGGCACTTTACATACCTTACTTATAATCTTCCCCCCTCCACTGTATTTCTCCACAGCATTTAGCACACATATGATGAATTGACCGTTGATTTGATTATCTGTTTTTATTTGTGAACTCTGTGAGTTCAGGAGCCATGTCAGTCACCATTGTACCCCTGTGCCTGGTGGTTAACAAATGTTGATCAACAAACTAGAGGATATAAATATTATTACCCCATTTTTCAGATGAAGAAACAGAAACTCAGAGCAACTAAACATTTGCCCAAATGACTCCAGCTATAGGTGTTAGACAAAAGAAAAGAAAAGGACTCTTAGGTAGTTTGGGGGATTTTTAACAAGTCTTTTTTTTTTTTTTAAACTACAGCCCCAAAGAAGGGAAACAAACTGGTAAATTCGGTTCTGATTATGCCCCACTTTGACCGGGGGTGCTGTCTGGAAGCAGGCTTTTGTGCCCTGGTGCAAAGCACCTAGTAGAAAGGTAGGGTTCAGTCATTGCTCTGCCTGCAAGCGTGTCTTTGTTGAGGTTCTCTGGCTCTCACTGCCACTCATAGCCCTGTCTTACATATACAGAGTGGGTAAGGAAGATGAAACTCAGTGTCATACACCAAACTGAATCCCAAGGTGGCAAATAAGACCACTCCCAGTCCACAGGCTTGTTGGAATGCCCCAGCTCACACATTGTTTTGTTTCTGTTTGTATTTTCATTTGAGACCATATTTTAAAGATCAAAAGGTTTCTCACACATTTGGATTTGGGGCTCTTTTTAAACTAAAGATATGGTGATGCTGGGTCCACTTTTCCACAAGGCAGTAATCAGTAGTCTCTGAGTAGCATTTGGCCCTTTTAGACAACGTGTGCTCCTTAGGCCTCTTCTGGTTCTTCCCAGGCCCCTTCACTCATTTGCATAACCTGTACACATTTAAAGCAGGACCTTGAGTTTAACTGGGATCCCAAACGGCTTAACTCTCAATTGTTTCAGGCCACTAAACCACATTGATCTGTTTCCTAACAACCCAAATCCTTGTTTACAGCACAAGAAGGCTGAAACAGTTACTACCTTATTAGCAAAGGAAAAAACAAACAAACAAGGAACAACTGAAAAAGCAATTGTGGGAGGCAGTGGGGAGTGGTGTTTAGAGACTTGGATTGAATTCCCAGCTTAGCCTCCTAGCTTTGTGACTCCGCAAGTTGCTTCTCTCTGACCCCATCAGGAACTTCACAAGAGGCCTTGGTGGCTCACGCCTGTAATCCCAGCACTTTGGGAGGCTGAGGCAGGAGGATCCCTTGAGGCCAGAAGTTTGAGACCAGCCTTGGTAACATAGTGAGCTCTCTGGTTCTACAAAAACAATGAAACCAGAACTTAGCTGGGCATGGGTGCATACCTATAATCTCAGCTACTTGGGATGCTGAGGCGGGAGGATTGCTTGAACCCAGAAGTTCAAGTTACCCAGGACTTCAAGTGCACGCCACTGCACACCAGCCTGGGGGACAGAGGGAAACCCCATCTCCTTCTTCTTAAAAAAAAAATAAATAAATAATAGTTCACAAGAGAAGCAACCTATGTAGCAGCTAGTACATAGAGGCGCCTCACCTAAGAGAGGTGGCAGAAGCTGTGCCAGGTGGCCATACAAAGCCTGAGTGTTCTGGCCTATTAGTTCTGCAAGCTGTCTTTCGTCTCTCTTGGACCACTCAGTTTGTAATCCAGGTACACTCAGTAAGCCCCCAGGAGACTTGCTAGGATGTAAACCAGCAGTTGGTGAGGAGAGGTGAGCTCATCCTACCCTTGTCCACCTCTTGTTCCCCTCCACATCGTCCTCTGGGCCTTTGCCCAGTCTAGTTTAAAGGGACTCTAGAGATCCGATTCTCCCACTGCTCCCTCAAGAAATTGATTAGTCAGTATCTTATAGTAGATGATTAGTCAGTATCTTTAATAAAACCATCTCATTATGTTTAGTTCACTCAGCAGATATCAAAACAACCTCTGTGCCAGGACCTTTATTTGGGGTGCACAGATGGATAAGACAGTTCCTATCTTTGGGGACCTCCCCTTTAGAATCACTGCCTGCCCAGCCTGCACAACTTGCATTGTCAGTAGGAGGAAATGATACTGAGGGGATCCCTGCCACCTCTAGTTCTTCTTTGTAAGCCAGTAGAGACTCACTCAGTAAAAATGTCAAAAGACCTTTGAAAATGAAGACTTACCGACTTAGGATTTTATTTATTTATTTTTATTTAGAGATAGGATCTTGCTATGTTGCTCAGGCTATCCTCAAACTCCTGGACTCAAGTGATACTTCTCCTTAAGCCTCCCAAATAGCTGGGACTACATGTGCATGCCACTGCACCCAGCTGAGTTTTAAATTTTAATTTCTGATATCAGATAGATGATCCTAACACCTTTACTTACCTCATCTAGAAGTTTTTAGAGCAGGGTCTATGTTTTAATTTATTTGGGGGGTATATACTGTGTGTGGTCCTGTGGTCCTTATATACTCAATGCCTGGCTGTTAAACTAAATTCTAATAAGTGAGGATTCTACCACTTCGTTCTTATCTGCCCCCAAACTGGGCCAGGTTGGCAGTTATTCGTTCATTTAGGCCAGCCATTCGCATGCTGTGATGCCCAGTCTTATCTCACATGGCATTTATTGTGCAAATATTAACCGATCCCAGCTCTGTGCCAGGCCTGGGCTAGCTGCGCATGCAGAAGTGAATCAGACATAGTCCCTTCCCACAAGGGGCTCATAGTCTAGAGAACGTGTGTATAGTAATTGCAGTGATGCTAGGAGATATAGCATCGGCTTCTTCTGAATAAAGGTTCGAATCCTGGACACTTTTTTTTTGAGATGGAGTCTCACTCCGTCGCCCAGGCTGGAGCACAGTGGTGCGATCTTGGCTCACTGCAAGCTCCGCCTCCTGGGTTCACACCATTCTGCCTCAGCCTCCCGAGTAGCTGGGACTACAGGCGCCCGCCACCGCTCCCAGCTAATTTTTTGTATTTTTAGTAGAGACGGGGTTTCACTGTGGTCTCGATCTCCTGACCTTGTGATCCATCCGCCTCAGCTTCCCAAAGTGCTGAGGTTACAGGTGTGAGCCACCGTGCCCGGCCATCCTGGACCCTATTAAGTGGCCTTTGGAAGTGTTTCAGCCTCTTGGTTTGTTTTCTTATGTATAAAATGACAATCCAGGCCAGGCATGGTGGCTCACGCCTGTAATCCCAGCACTTTGGGAGGCTGAGGTGGGCGGATCATGAGGTCAGGAGATGGAGACCGTCCTGGCTAACACAGTGAAACCCCGTCTCTACTAACAATACAAAAAAATTAGCCGGTTGTGGTGGCGGGCACCTGTAGTCCCAGCTACTTGGGAGGCTGAGGCAGGAGAATAGCGTGAACCTGGGAGGTGGAGCTTGCACTGAGCCGAGATTGTGCCACTGCACTCCAACCTGGGCGACAGAGTGAGACTCCGTCTCAAAAGAAAAAACAAGACAATCCAGTTGTACAAGGTTAATGTTAGTGTCCAACAAGTGCTGTGCGCTTAACACGAGAGGCAGCTGGTGTCGGGGTTGCCCAAGACGTAACCTAGAGGAAGATGGGTCAGAGAATGCTTCTCAGAGCTAAGTCTTCAAGGTTCTCCAGAGAACAAGGTGGGAGAAAAGAGTCCAAACAAAGGAAGGAACTTGTACAAAGACCCAGGGCGAGCCCCACTCACTTGGAGAGTCGGGAGAGATCTGGCTGAAGGGGCTAGCAGGGTTCTTGAAAACCACACCAAGAGGTTTGGGCTTTATCCTGTAGGTGGTGAGGAATCAATGAAAGGTTTTAAGCAGGAAAGAGAACGTCATGGGCTTCAATACATTCTCTGATAGCATGTGAAGAAGTAATTCTCAGTGGGAGAGACAGCTGTGATTGCTTGATTCCACCTCCCTTGCCCCAACCTAATAATCATCAGATCCCCTGTGCTTTGCTGGACCCTATCCCAGACTTACAGAATCAGTCTCCAGGTCTGGATCCCAGGTGTCTATTGTTGAATTGTCCCCAAGTGACTCCGACATGTGGCTGGGTCTGGGAGCTGCTGAATCGAGGGTGCCAGGGGGATCTTTGAGAAGACCTAGGGTATTCAAACAATGAGCTTCCCAGGGAGGAGCTTTTCCATAAGCAAGAATAGAAACCACCTTAGTTCAAAACAGAACAAAAAACCTTCCCCCAGTTCTGATCTATTAATGATATTTGCCAACTGCTAATCTTCCATTGTGTATCCAAACACTTACCTGTGCCTACTCTGTGCTACAGGCTCTGCTGAATGACTGCAATACAGTGACTTGTGGGACACAGGCTCTGCCCTTGAAAAGCTCACAGTATTGTGGAAAGGACAGATTTCAACCAGTAGAATATATTTGATAAGCTCTATTCTAGAGATATGTTTTTAAACAAAAAAGTGTTAGGGTATCCCAGAGCAAAGCCAAGTTCATTCTTCCTGTGGACTTAAGAGGATGTGACACCCAGATCGAGCCTAAAAAAAAGGAGAAGAAAAAGGCAGAAGGAACAGCATATGTGAAGGTGTGACTACTTTATGTATTTGGTCCTTCTTGGCAGGATATGCAGAAACAGAGAAGGACTGAGGAGAGGCATGCTATGTCTTGGGAAGGGCCCTGTGTTTGTGCCTTCAGTTCTGTGCCTGTGAGCCTGCCTTCGTCCTTCAAACTCTGGGTGGCTCCCAGCACAGCAGCTGCATGGTTGCGCAGCCTGTGGGCCAACATGCTGCCGTCCATCTCCCCTTCATTCTCCACCAAAGGCCCTTAGCTCCCTTTATTATTTCCCGCTCCATTCTTAGCATGCTTAGCACAAGTGGTAGCTACAAGTAGATCTATCTACTGTGAAAAATGATGTAGGGAAACTAAGGCAGAAAGAAGGGGCTGGTGGAACTGCAAACACTGAAGGTTTTATTAGGAAGTTATAGCCAGAAAACAAGGAGCTGGGGGTTCAAAGAGGCCTTGAAGTCACTTGTCTAGTCCTTCTGTCCTTTGCTTCAAGAAATAAATTTGGTTTGGGCAAGTCTCACTTAGTAAGTTTCCCTGTCATTTCTTCCAGGGCAGAAGAGGAAAGAAACTAACGGGTATTGAGCACCTACTTTGTGCCAGGCCCAGGCCAGGTACTTTACATAATTTATTTCCTTCTGTCCTCACAACTCTGTAAAATATGGTTTTATTCCCATTTCATAAATGAGGAAATTGAGGCTCAAAGAAATTGAGTAATATTCCAAGATCATATTGAAAACGACAGTTGGGATTTGAACTCACAACTGTGTGTCTCATCCCCAAAGTTCATGCTCTTCCTCCTCCATGAGTAACGTGTGCTGGGGTTACAGTAGCAGAGTAGCAGTTTGACCTGAGGATTCAGGTAAATCTGCGGCTTTGGCCCTCCTTGTGGCTGATTGCACCCAGGAGGCAGTTCAGCAGATGAGCTAGCCTTGTGGGGATATTAAAACTGAGAAAGTTTTAGGGTTAAGGTCACTAGGATCAGAGAGACTCACTCCCAGCCGAGCTTGTACAACCAGAAAGGATTCTCCACTGACTAGTCTTACAGTGTGAAACAGCTATTCTACCTCCTGGAAGGGCCTGAGCCCACAGCCTGCATGGAAGTTTGGGTAACAGCTCCAGGGCACTGAGGTAGGGTTGTGTCAGCTCTCTTAAGAATTAACTGCAGCTCTGATTGTCAGCATTAGAATGGTCTGAGATTCTTCTCACTGATTGCCCTCTCATCAGTGGCTCAGAGTGACTTATAGCATGTTGGGAAATGCACTGGTTTGACTCTGTTTTACATTCTGCCTTTGTGTTGAAAAGCTGAGACATGAGCCAGGTGGGCTTTAAGCTTTCATTTGTTTATTCAGTGAATGCCTGCAATGTGCCAGGCCCAAGCCAAGTTAGGTTCCTGGGCATACTTAAATGACCAAGGTCCACACCCTGCCCCCAGAGAGCTTACATTCTACCAGGAATTTAGGAACAGACAGAATACATCTATGGCACATTTTGATGATGCTGTATTAAATAGAATCAGTTGTGCTTAGCTTGACCAGCAAAAGCTTCACTGACCTTTGACCAGAATCTTAGGGAATGAATAGGAATTGTCAAGGATAGGTGTTTCCCAGCACTTAGCACAATTGGCAGGAGATACGGAATTTGAGAATGTTGAATGAGGGAATGAATGGGTGAATGGAAGAGTGAGTGATGGTAACCATGACAGTGAGTTTTTCTAGGCTGAGGATTGATCATTTTCTCTGCTTCTGAAAGGGAATTTTAGCTGCTGGTGTTGTCCTCTGCCTGCCTTGGTGACAGAGAGGCTCTTGGAGTTGGGTGCCTCGAGAGTAGAGTGCTCCAGTGGGCCATTTCAAAATAGAATTTGGGATCTGTTGCAGGGCAGCTGGTTAGATACAGCATGTGTTTTGGGGAAATCCTGTACAAACATATACAAACCCTGGAGATGAAAAAGAATCCATGGGATGAATGAGGCCAAGTTGAGTGCTGGAAATTCAATCCAGCTTCAGAGTAGTCCTTGACAGCTGTCTGGTCTGGCAATGGGTTATTCCCAAATTGGGGATAGAAAGGCCAAGCTAGAAAACTGAGTCATGCCCCCAAAGAGCCTTTTCTTTTTTTTGAGACAGGCTCTCACTGTTACCCAGTTTGAAGTACAGTGGTGCAGTCTTGGCTCACTGCAACATCCGTCACTTGGGCTTGAGCAGTCCTCCAACCTCAGGAGACCCTTATGTATTCCTAAAAATGATTGAGGAACCCAAAGAGCCTTTTTTTTTTTTTTTTTTTTTTTT